TGCGATCTTTTGTACATTGGCTTTAAGTTGACCTGATTGTTCATAAGATCAGTATGGTCTAACTAGAGTAAATATGAATGCCGGAACATTTCAGAGTAGTAGAGAGTCAACGAACACAAAATACGAGCACGATTATCAGGGAATTTCAGTAACTTGTGAAATATTTCAATGGCGTATGAATACTTATGAGGGGGCATGCCCCAAAAATTTTCCGTGCCCCCAACCCTACTTGTATCCCGAAATATGGTTAAGGCCAAAGCACAACAACTTGCAAGACAACCCTGTTTTATTTCAAATTACCCTTCAATCAATAACTGTAAGTAGAGTGATAGATGGTTAGAAGGCTTTATGCGCAGAAATAAGCTAAGTAATAGATGTCGTATCACAGTAGCACAAAAACTGCCAGAGGATCTAGAACCTTTAAGAGATGCTTTTTTGAGTAATGTGTTATACTATTGAATGCTTTATAAATATCCACTTTCTCTTATTGGAAATATAGATGAGACACTATTGGCATTTGATATGCCTAGTAACTATACGATTGAAGAAACTAGTGCTCATACAGTTGGAATTTGTATAACTGAATATGAAAAATTCAATTTTACTGTTGTTTTAAGTTGTTTAGCCGATGGCACTAAATTGCCTCCTATAATAATTTTTAAGTTAGTAAATGTATCACAACAAATATTTTCATTAGGTATTATTATACGAGCTAATACAGAAGGATATATAAATACTAATGAAATGAATTTTTAGATTGAACATGTCTGGAAATATTGAGCTCCTTTATCTGTTGATTCTTGTTCATTACTCATTTTGGATGGATTTCGTAGTCATCTTACAGACCCAGTTAAAAACTGATTCAAGAAAAAAAATACAACATTGCAGTTATTTCAGGTGGTCTTACCAAAAAATTACAACCGTTAGATATATATATTAATAAATCCTTTAAAGAGGAGGTAAAATAATATTAGTTATTTAAATAGCACAAATACGTATATATGTATATAGCATTATTTAATAATTATATAATGATTATCACAGCTAATAGTAAAATTTAGCTAAAGCTAAAACTTTATTAGTTTTTAACTTTAGCTAAATTTGACATTAGTCATGACAATCTCTTTTTTTTAATTTCAAGTATTGTAAGCACTATCTTAATTGGATGGAAGAAGAAATTAAAAAGTTGACACTCTTAGGTCGTATTCAACGACATACCTATAATTTGGTAGCCAGATGGATTAAAGCAGCGTGGGACCATATTGACTCCACCTTTATCCAATGGTCATTCAAGTGCTGTAGTATATCTACGGCTCAGGATGGATCCAAAGAGGATATAATGTTTAATTATAATTGGGTTACTAATCCAGAATGTCGAAATCAAGGAGGTGAACATGTGTATATTAATGTGAATAATTCAAGCAACAATGAAGATGTTGTTGATTTGACTCAAGATAATAATGGTGATGATAATAATAGCTTGCATGAAAGTAGAGTAAGTAGGAACGAATATGATGGTGAAGATAGAAGTAATGAAAGTAGGAGCGAATATGATGGTAAAGATAATAACAGTGATGAGAATGAAAATGAAAATTATTATATTTGGGAGAAGAATGAGGATAAAGATAGCTGGAACAAAGGTAGGGTAAAAAACTTTTTTTTTAAAAAAAAAAGATTAGAAAATATTAAATTATTTAAATAATTTAGCTAATTCAGATAACCAAGAAAGTCACGATGATTCGTATTATGAGGATCAAATAACTGAATATGTTTTTATGTGGGATTAAAAAAAAACACCCTCTCATCCGCTCAAATCATAGAAATGTAATCAACATAACCAATGAAGATGAACCTTTAATATATAGGCAAACACAGTCAAAAATAATAACAAAGTTCAATTTATAGCATGGTGAACAAATATAATGAGTAACTGGCAGTTTAAATAAGTTGTTAAGAATAATGTTGGTATTAAATAATCGGGGAGGCAATTTATTGCACAATAAATTTTAAGTCCAAACAATATAGAGTAACTCAATCTTATCCATTTATTGTAAACTTGTAAATTTATTTCAGATGCACTTACAATTCCACTATTAATATATTGTAAAACTACATTTTAATATCCCGCTGCTATCTAATTACTTGCATTAGATAAATGCTTTCGTTAAATATGATAATTTAATACTACACTCTCAAAATTCTAAA